CCGGGGGAGACCAGAGACAAGGACACGGGAGGCCATGCCTCAGAGACAAGGCAAGGAGGGTTGACCAAGGCAGTGGTGCCAAAGGAGAGTCTGGTGGGACAGGAGACGACATGAGCAGGGAGAAAACTCAGGACCAAACCTGGGCGCTGCAGCAAATACCTGACTCGACGCAGCTACCTGACTAGTCTCAGCAACCGGAGGAGACTCAGTGGTCAGTGTGTACAGGCTCGACCCCGCCCGACGGGTAAACGTGGCCAAGTGTCGGCCCGTCCGAGCACACGTACAGTGGGTCACCCGCTGACTCGCAGGAGTGAACTGGTCAACCCCCCTATCCTGTAGATCAGCTCCACTCACCAAGTTCGTAGAGAACAAGGGGAGGTAGAGACCTGACAGGGTGCCAAAGGGGGCCGCTGGACGCGATAAGACAGAGGAGAAGCGAGCAAGGACAGGACCCCCAGAGGGGTCTGCCAGGGAGACCGCAACCGGCCGACTAAGCGGCGTTAGCGTAGTGCGGTCTCGAAAGAAGGAGCGGGAAGCACCCGAGTCAAGGGTGAAGGTGTGTAGGGCCTGAGCCGACGTGGTACCTGAGAGAGCAGACTCACCAGCACCTGGGGCAGCAGACGCACTAGCACCTAGAGCAGCAGCCTCACCAGCACCTAGAGCAGCAGCCTCGATACCCGGGTTAGACGGAACACACAGGTAACAGTCACTCTCATCACTAGTAGACACAGCATACATGGCAGCTAGAATAGCATCATAATCAAGATCAAAGATAGCAACCCCCGCCCTAGACAGCTCTCCCCAGCGAGGGATCTCAGTGGCGTCAGGGAACTGGTGACGCCACGCGTCCGTCATGCGGCCGAAGCAGCGCTGGGTGGAGTGCGGGCCCCCGCACTGCTCACCAGCGCGGTCGCCGGTACGAAGGACGTAGGTGCAGGGACCAGTACCCCCACCTCGCTGACGCCCAGTGTACCACTCACGAAGCTGCTGGGGGGACGGGGTCTCACGATTGCGCTGGTGCAGCTGGCGCGGACCACCACCGGAACCACTCCTCTGCGTAGAGCCGCGACCAGCTCCACCGCTGCCGCGGCCGCCTCCGCCAACTCCGCCGCCTCCGCCACCTCCGCCGCCTCCGCCACCACCGCCGCCTCCGCTCCCTCCGCCACCGCCGCCGCCTCCTCCGCCTCCACTGCTGCCACTGACACCTCCACCCCCGCCACCACTCCCACCACCACCCCCACCCCCTCCACTGCCTCCAACACCACCTCCACTGCCCTCGCCAGCCCCTCCAGCGCCCTTGCCCCCCTTGCCCTTGCCGGTGCGGCGTCTCCCGCTAGGGGCACACGCAGCGCCGACCGACTCGAAGCCAACGAGGTCGGCCGCAGCAGCAGAAGCAATAGAGGGCAAGAGGGGGGAGGGGGAACACCCCTCAAAGACGGGGTTGCGAGGGTCACCACGAGAGGCTCATACAGCGACTATGCTCTTCTCTGTTGCTAGGAGGCGCTCCTCGAGGAGGTCAACAGTGAGTGTGGTGGGGCAAACTGAGAGGAAGTGGTCCCTGACTAAGTGAAGGGAGTTAGGGAGCCGAGTGACTATGTAGTAGAGGGTGATGTATATGGGGGGGGGGGTTCTTGGCACAAAACTCAGCAGGAAGCGCAGCGCGGTAGCGAGTGTCACTAGTGCGAAGGTGCGTAATGAGGTCAGCGACTGTGGGAAAGGCAGCAAGGTCAGGGAACAGGTACGGCAGCATGAGGCGGCTAAGAGCAGCAGTGGCAGGGGAAGAGTAGCGTGCAACTACAGCGTCGTACAAGGTCTTAGCACTCTTGTACTGACTAAAGTGCGCACGCTCAGCGGTCGATAAGTGGCGACGCACAGCAAGACGGGCAGCAGCATCGCGTGTGGCCCACTGTGAGTGAAGAGTGCTGTCAGCAGTAGCAGGCGGGGCAGGAGAAGCACCAGAGGTGAGATCAAAAAGGGAGAGTCCGTCTGCCCTATCGCATTGGAGGAAGAGCTGGAGGTCATTGACCCAGACCTCAAAGTCAACAGCACGACCCTCAGCATCAAAGGTAAGGACACTGGGGGTAGCCATGACAGTAGTAGTCTAGCAGGGAGTGTGCTCACCAGTCCGGGCGGGTAGGGCCGGGGCGCGCCGGTAGGAACAGGGCTGGGACCGCGGTGGCTGCGGCTCGGCAGTGACTCGGTGGCTCAACGGCTCGGCTGCGGGGCGGCTCGGCTGCGGGGCGGCTCGGCGGCTCGGCGGCTCGGCTGCTGGGCGCCTCGGCGGCTCGGCTGCTGGGCGGCTCGGCGGCTCGGCGGCTCGGCTGCTAGGCGGCTCGGCGGCTCGGCGGCTCGGTTGCTGGGCGGCTCGGCGGCTCTGCCGCTAGGCGGCTCGGCAACTTGGCTGGTGAAGGGGCCGGTAGAGGCAGCGATGAGGCCGGTAGAGGCGGCGACGGGGCCGCTAGAGGCGGCAACGGGGCCGCTAGAGGCGGCGACAGGGCCGCTAGAGGCGGGGATGGGGCCGCGAAGGGCGGGGAGGTGGCCGTGAAGGGCGGCGACGGGGCCGCTAGGGGCGGCGAGGTGGCCGCAAAGGGCGGCGTTGGGGTCGTTAGGGGCGGCGACGAGGCTGCAGAGGGGCCGCGAGGGGCCTAGAGGGGCGGCGACGGGGCCGAGAGGGGCGGCGACGGGGCCGCGAAGGGGCCGTGAGGGGCCTAGAGGGGCGGCGACGGGGCCGCTAGGGGCGGCGACGGGGCCGTGAGGGCGCCGCGAGGGGCCTAGAGGGGCGGCGACGGGGCCGCTACGGGCGGCGTTTTTGCGGTGTCCCGGCCGATTGCACATGAAGTAGCGGCATTCGCGGCAACGGCACGTATCGTGGCGTGCTCGTTCGTCCCATGGGATCAGTGTCCCTATTTGTTGTTGCTTCCTTAGGACCTCGGTCTCGGTCGGTGGAAAAAGTCAAGTTTCTCCACCATTACGAGAATCTCCTGAAAGTCGGTGACGCCGCGGAGCTGGATTTCCTGGGCGATGCCATGCTTCGGGCCGCCGATGTAGCGGTCGATACACTCGCTTCCATGCATGTAGCCCACCTGCTCACACTGCGCCAGAAACTCGCTGGTGTAATCCTGGACGGAACTGAGCTTGCGCCAAGTGCGGAGCTTCTGACGCGCTGCGATCGAAGCCGCAATAGGCTCGTTCGGGCACGCAGACCTGCGCACCACGCGTCCCACGTGCGATATTAGAGCACCTCCACGAAATATGACTACGCCCAGGGTCTGGTTTTTCCTTCCTGTGTCGGTAGAGTCGCGTAGTCCGTCGGCTTCGTCCATGGCGGGTTCTCGCAGCAGCGACACGACGTAACGAATCTTCGTCGTATCCTCCGAGACGTAGTTCGCGTCAAAAAATACGTTCATGGTGAACAACTACGCCTTAACTGTAGGACCACCCCGTTGACTTGGGTCAAAGCAAGGGGGACGCTGCGGCTTCAGCGGCATCGGCAACTGCACTGTTGACTCGCTGGTCAGCACCAAAATCGTGAAGCAGGGTTGGCTTTTGGCCGCATTCGTCGCTTCGGGGTGTGTCGCACCATGGTCGTCGTCTCTGTCGTTGCGGACGAGGCCATCACTACCCGCGCTCGCGGGTTGCCCCACACTTCTGAGCTGTGATGCTTGTCGTGCGGGTTGTCCCGGTGTGCCTGGTGCTTGCGATTGCGCTTGTTGTGCTCGTGCGATGTCGTTTTGCAGGAACATACGCTCTGCCGTCAGCGCAGCAATTTCTTCAGAGCTTTCGCGGAGTTGCTATAGCATTTCGTTCAGACGCTCCTACGTGAGGCTCGCGACGTCAATGTGTTCAGCCATTCTGAAGGGCGTCGGCTCAGCTTAGTCTAGGCGCAGTCGTGGCTGCACGCGTTTACGAGAGAACGCGAGGACAGCGGCTCCTAAGTGCTAAGGGGTGTGAGTTCCTTCGATAAAAAATCAAAAGTTGCTTTCCTGGGTGCGGAGATGCGCGGTCCGAAAGAAAGTGGCTATGATGACCAAGTCTTACAGGTGCAATAGGACAACGTAGCGAGGATTACACTGTGTGGATCAAAAGTACAAAGTATGAGCGAATACTTATGTGCGGAAAGATGGAACGGTTACGCGGCGCGTGCGAGCTAGGTAGTGCTAGGCTGGCATCGAGGTTTGGGCTAGCCCCAAAGCGTAGGCCGACTTGGCGGGGCCAGCGGTGCATGGTTTGGTGAAACAGTGCGCGTGAAATTGGCGAAGCCCCGTGTAATTAATTCCTTACTGAGTTCAGGCGAAGTCCTGTACGCATACAATTCCAACTTTCGGAGTTCAGGCTCGGCCCGACGACTTCGCCTGCCGAACATACCTCACGTCGCCTTCGGGTTTCCCAACCCCAAGCGTGCACCCAACCATCTCGCGACTCCGCGACCTCGGCCTAGCTATGATGGTTATATTAGTCCTAGGCCTCGTTGAATGCTTAGTAGTTGTATTGTCATTGTTTGGATATAAGACATATATGTCTTATCTCGTACACGGGCAAAAATGCTTGAGTTATCTTGTAAAAGGGATGGTTTAGGGTGTCTTATAAGTCTTATAAATGGAAAAAAAATAAGTTGATTGTAACACTTGCAAAGTGTGTAGAAACCACCCAAGGACCAGATTCATTGAAACAGGCCGACCTCGGTGGTGATGCATGCAGCGCCCACACTTGCCACGTGAGGGAGCTGCAACCGCTGGCAACATTCCTCTGTGCTGGCAGCACCTGATGATGCTGCCAGCGTCGTTTTGCTGCCAGCAGCGCAGGGATGCTTCCAGAACGCTGCTGGCAGCACGTTGGCAGCGTGAGGGTTGTCCTCTATGAGGAGATGCCTCGTAGAGGAGTGGCTCGGCACCTGTGGATGGGGCACTCCGGCTGGGGGGGGTAGTCGGGCTCTCACTTCATTTCGTGCTCAAGGAGGTTGAATACTCGTCTCAACCTTGCTCTCAGCAGGCTCTCTAACCATGCGCAGCAAAGTACCAGTAGGCAAGTCCTCACTTCGTCCTCACGTGCAGGTGAATAACCACGGGCGAATTAACTCGCCCGGCGATGACATCCGTGTAGCCATAGTGAAGAACGCGAGCAAGGCGGGAAGTCCTACCGCCGCCTCCGGTGCGAGCTGTGACAGGGACGATGGAGATGAAGAGAACGCCGACGACGCAGAGGAGGATTGGCCGGAGAACGGCCACGACGACAGCGCTTCGGGCGACGAATTAGGTCCTGCCGACATCGAGGAGGACAACTGGTGGAATCGGCCGGTCGGGAGCAAGCGGGCTGGTGATTCCGACAACGACGGAGGTGAAAATGCGCATGGTGACAACGCAGAGGCAGCGGCGGATGCACAGGAAGCGGCGGTGGATGCAAATGAGGAGGCTGACGACGAGGCGGGGGCGGAACTTGAGACAGTTGCGCCTGCGGATGCGGCCGCAATTGCGGATGCGGATGCTGTGGCGGAGTCGGACAAGGTTGCTGCGGATGCCGTCTTATTTGACGAGGAAGGCGGCGACCACGACCCATGGAGCCTTGGGACCGACGACGACGTTTCGCTACTAAAGCGGAGGCTGCGCCATCGCCTACAATCCAAGTCGGAGCGGGCCCGCGTGGTGCTCTCTGACGACGACGGTCCGGGGGAGGAGCGTCGCCCGATACTCACCGCTGCGGAGAAGGGGAAAGCCAAGGTTGCGGAAGCCCCTGCTAAGGCCCCTACTAAGGCCCCTGCTTGTCGCTGCAAAAGCAACAAGAAGTGGACATCCGACGGATACCCGAGATCCAGCAAGGGTGCGGCTAAGAAGAAGGCGAAGAAGGCGCCGAATCCTGACGACATCGTCGTGAACGAGACGCTGGGCAGCCACGATGAGTACGCGGCGGCGGCGGGCCCGATTCCCACGTTCCTTGAGAAGGTCACGCCGAAGGACCCCACCCTCCATAATCCCAACACCCGCCCACCTTCCCCTCGCAGCAAAGACACTACGAAGAAGCACCGCAGTTGGACCGTGCGTGAGAAGCTTAAGTGGGCCCGCCGCTATCAGGAGCTCGGCTCCTTGAAGAAGACGAGCGTGGAGTCAACCGCGTCCATCGCCTGCATCAGACGCTGGTGTGCGGAGGCGGAACCGGGCGTCTACAAGGGCGCGGCTAACTGCCGCAAGCAGATGCACGGGGGGGGGGGCGCCACTCACACTACCCCGACATGGAGGCAGCGTTGTACCGCTACATCTGCCTTCACCGCACTAGCGGGGTGGCCATCTCGGTGAAGGACACCCAGAAGTGGAGCCGCGAGTGGATGAAGAACCATTACCCCGGCAAGAACTGGAACGCGAGCTCTCACTGGAGTCAGCATTTCCGTGACCACTGGAACCTGGAAATGCGGGTGAAGACCAAGGTCGGCCAACGTCTGTCGGCAGGTGCGTGTTGAAGGATTTCGTGTCGCGCTATTGAATGCATGTACCTCACCCAGTGTCTAACCATCCCGTGCTTCCGTTGCGCTTGTCCCGTTTGCAGAGTGCGCGAAGGACTGCGAGTCCTTCTGGAAGTTCGCGCGCATCAACAGGGCGCGGCACAACATCGACCAGGCCCGCATCATCAACGCGGACCAGACTCCACTATTCGTGGAGATGCCAGCCAAACAGACGATCGAGCACCGTGGCGCGCGCTCGGTCCCAATCCGCACTGCAGGCTACCAGAAGACGCGCTTGACGGTGATGCTCGCGTGTACTGCATCCGGGGAGAAGCTGTTAGAACATTCTAGCATATACTTTTGTGTAGGCTGTAGTGGGGTAGCCCATAAGGGGTACAACCCAATTAGGGTTAGTACTTGTACCCAACTATTTCATAGTTCATTCATTCTCGTTCAATTTCACATGGTATCAGAGCAGGTTCCCCTGTGGGAACTGTTCCTAGGGCCCACCGGTTTATTTTTTTTCCTGCCCGGAGCACGCTCAGCCTCTGCCCGACTCGCGCTCCCCTCTCACGACCCCGTTGCGCCGCCCTTACGACCTCATCGCGCCGCCTTAGCAGCCCCGTCGCGTCGAGCCTCCCTAGCGGCCCCGTCGAGTTGCCCTCGCGACCCCGTCGCGCCGCCCTCGCGGCCCCATCACGTCGCGCCGCCCTCGCGGCCGCGTCGCGCCGCCCTTGCGGCCCTTTCGCGCCGCCCTCGCGGCTTCTTCGAGCTGCCCTAGCGACCCCTTCAAGCCGCCCTCGCGGCCCCGTCGCCTACCCTTGCGGCCCCGGCGCCTACCCTCGCGGCCCCGTCGCCTACCCTGCGGCCCCGTCGCCTACCCTGCGGCCCCGGCACCTACCCTGCGGCCCCGTCGCCGACCTTGCCGGCCCCGTCGCCTACCCCTGCAGCCCCGACGCCGCCCTTCCCGGCCCCGGCGCCGCCTCTGCTGGCCCCGTCGCCTACCCCTGCGGCCCCGGCACCGCCCTTCCCGGCCCCGGCGCCGCCCTTCCCGGCCCCGGCGCCGACTCTGCTGGCCCCGTCCCCTACCCTGCGCCCCCGGCGCTGCCTCTACCGGCCCCGCCGCCGTCCCCGCGCGGCCCCGCCGTCACCACCAAGCCGCCGGCGCCGCCGACCTACTGCCGAGCCGCCCGAGCCACCTAAGCCACCCGAGCCGCCGCGCCACCTGAGCCGCCCGAGCCGCCGGGTCGCTGAGCTGCCGAGCCGCCGTACCGCCGAGCCGCCAGCGCCGTTAAGTCGCCGAGCCGCAGTTGCTGCCGAGCCGCCGAGCCGCCCGAGCCGCCGAACCGCCAAGCCGCCGATCCGCCGAGCCGCCCGAGCCGCCCTGTCCGGTAAGAGCAGCGCCTCTGTCACTGCACTGCCCTTACCCTACTGTTCGCGCTGCTAGTCTACTGCTGTCATGGCTACCCCTAGTGTCCTCGCTTTTGACACTGAGGGTCGGGCCATTGACTTTGACATCTGGGTAGATGACCTACAGCTTTTCCTACAGTGTGATAGGGCAGACGGTCTCTCCCTCTTTTAACTCACCTCTGGTGCCTCTCCTGCCCCTACTGCTGATGCTGACGCCACTGTTCACTCACAGTGGGCCACACGCGATGCTGCTGTACGTATTGCTGTGCGTCGCCACCTGCCTATCTCTGAGCGTGCGCACTTTAGTCAGTACAAGAGTACTCAGACCTTATACGACGCTGTAGTTGCACGCTACTTCTCCCCTGCCACTGCTGCACTTAGCCGCCTCATGCTACCGTACCTCTTCCCTGACCTTGCTGCCTTTCCCACAATCGCTGACCTTATTACACACCTCCGCACTAGTGACACTCGCTACCGCGCTCCGCTTCCTGCTGAGATCTGCACCAAGAACCCCCCCCCCCCCATGTGCATCACCCTCTACTACATAGTCACCCGGCTCCCTGACTCCCTTCGCGTAGTCAGGGACCACTTCCTCTCAGTTTGCCCCACCACTCTCACCGTTGACCTCCTCAAGAAGGCCCTCCTAGCAGCAGAGAAAAGCATAGTAGCTGTAGGAGCCTCTTGTGGTGACCCTCGCACCCCCATCTTTGAGGAGTGTTCCCCCTCCCCCCTTTTGCCCTCTGTTGCCTTTGCTGCTGCGGCCGACCTCCTTGGTCTTGAGTCGATCGGTGCGGCGTCTACCCCTAGCGGGAGATGTTGAAATGAATGAACAGGAATGATTGAACTAACAGTGAAATCAGTACAAGTACCTAACCCTAGAATTGTGTACCCCCTATAGGCTAACCCACTGTAGCCTAAACAAGTACAACATATATAATGTTTGACACACCCCCATAGGCGAAGTGGGGGAGAACTAGGGGTCACAAGACCAGTCAAGCAAAGCAAAGCAAAGCAAGCTCAGGGTGGATCACAAAGTCACCACACATTCCGAGCACAAGTTCAAGGCCACAAGGCCAGTTCACATGCATGAGTACATATATATATAAGGCTAGACAAGCAAGAGCAGGTATATATATATATGTAACAGTACAAGCAAGGTCAAGAGGTGAGCAAGTGAGGCAAGACAGGTACAAGACCCAGCTGGGTGCAGAAGCGCTGATGATCACAAGGCGCAAGTGCCTAGGTGAAGACATCAGCAGTGTTGGCCTCAGAGGCCACGTACGCAAGCCGCATCTGACCACACTGCTGTAGCTCAAGAGCAAGGAAGTAGCGGAGAGCAATGTGCTTTGTTCTGTGCTCCAGTCTCTGCTCTCGACACAAGGCCAGCATGGCCTTGTTGTCTACGTACAGGACTGGAGGAGAACGAGGCGGCTCTCCAAGGTCGGTCAGCAGGTAGGTGAGCCAGCGAAGCTCCTAAGCAGCCATGGCCCCTGCGTAGATCTCAGCCTCACAACTGGAGCCGAGAACAGAAGACGAACAGTAGCCCGCCACGAAACAGAGCCGGAACCAAGGCTGAAGGTGTAACCCTGCGACGACCGCTGCGTAGCCTGGTCGTCAGCCCAAGAAGCGTCTGCGTGACCAGTGAGGACCACTGGACTGCGCCCTCCAAGCACTAGCCCCATGCCCGACGTACTGCACAAGTAGCGCAACACCCTCTTCGCTGCAGCCATGTGCTCTGGTTGGTGTCTACCAGGAGCAACATAGCGTGCGAGAATGCTAAGAGGGTATGCAAGGTCAGGTCGTGTGCAGGTCATCAGGTACATGAGGCAGCCAACAAGCTCTGGGTACGGGCCACTCGACTCTACGGACTCATCCGAAAGCAGAGCTGAGAGCGAGTGGCGAGTAGGCTTAGGAGTGGCCTGAGGCGAGGAGTACGTGAAGCCGAAGCGCTGAAGGACCTGCTGCACCATGTGTGACTGAGTTAGGGTAATGGTGCGGCGTGCTCTGTCCCGGGTGATCTGCAAGCCAAGGTAGTTGCGCAGTTCACCCAGGTCTGTGCACGTGTGTCTCTTCTGCAGCTTGGACTTCACGTAGGCGAGTCCAGCAGTGTCAGCTGTGGCAAAGACCAAGTCGTCGACGTACACGAGGATGTAGAACGGCGGCAGAGAAGTGTCGGTGCGTAGAAACAGCGACAGGTCGGCACTAGAGGGAGCAAACCCAAGAGCCGCAGGCGTAGTCCTCAGTGTGTCCCAAGGGATCAAGACATCAGGGACCTCACCCTTGGTGCGCAAGGGGAAGACCGTGGTGTAGCGCGAGTAGTCGTCAACAACTATCAGGAAGTACCTCTCCTGACCCTGACCACGGACGCGGGCTGGGCCCCACACGTCCATGTGGAGCGTCTGCAAGGGAGCAGTCGTCAGGGGAAACGAGGAGGAGTGAGGAGCGGCGCGCTGCCGCCAATCGACGCAGGGAAGACAGGGAGGAGCAGGCGAGGGTGGGAGGGGAGGGAGGACTCAGGGAAGACCGGAGACAAGGTAACGGGAGTGCATGGCACGAAGGCGCTGCACAGACGGGTGGCCAAGTCGGTGGTGCCAGAGGACAGTCTCGTGCGCCAGAGAGCAACACGAGCAGGGGGCAGACAGCTGATCTGACGCGGACGCAGACGCAGACGCAGGGACCTGAGGGGACTCAGTGGTCAGTGTGTACAGGTTCGACCCCGGCTGCCGAGTGAAGGTAGCCAAGTGGCAGCCCGTACGAGCACACGTGTAGTGTGTCACGCGCTCGTAGGCAGGGGTGAACTGGTGAACACCCCCGTCCTGGAGTGCACTACCTGCCACCAAGTTCGTAGAGAACGAGGGGAGGTGGAGACCTGACAGTGTGCCCGACGGGACCGCAGGACAGGGAAGGACAGTGGAGGAGGTTGCAATGACCGGACCCCCAGAGGGGTCAGCGAGGGAGACACCAACTGGCCGAGCAAGCGGCTCAAGGGCAGTGCGGTCACGAAAGAAGCAGCGAGAAGCACCTGAGTCCAGTGTGAAGGTGTGCAGTGCTGCCGTCGACTCACTACCAGGGGGGGCAGACGCACAAGCACCTAGAGCAGCTGCCTCACCAGCACCTGGGGTAGCAGACACGCGAGTACCTGGAGCGGCAGACGCACTAGTCCTAATGCTCGGGTCTGGCGGCACACACAGGTACTCAGCACCCTCTCCACTAGTAGACATCACATACATAGTAGTGAGAATTGCATCAAAGTCTAGAGCATAGATATCAATCCCCTTCTTCAGGAGATCAGCCCAGCGGGGCAGCTCAGTGGCCTGAGGGAACTGAACACGCCAAGCGTCGTTGAGACGAGCGAAGCAGCGCTGTGTGGCGTGCGGTCCCCCACACGGCTGACCAGTGCGGTCACCAGTGCGAATGACGTACGTGCAGCTAAAGCCACCCCCCCCCCCAAGTGCTGAGAGTACCACTCACGGACCTCCTGGGGCGACGGAGTGTGCTGCTAGCTCTGGCCACCGCCAGCGCCTCCACGACCACCACCGCCGCCGCCACCTCCTCGACCACCCCAACCCCTGCCGCCGCCGCGTCCACCGCCACCCCCACCACCGCCTCCGCCCCTGCCACCTCCCCCGCCGCTGCCGCCACCACCCCCACCGCTGCCACTAGCCCCTCCAGTCGCGCCACCACCCCCACCGCCGCCACCGCCCCCACCACCGCCTCCCCCGCTATCAGCGCCACCGCCCTTGCCCCCTTTGCCCTTGCCGCTGCGGCGCCCGCTCGAAGCAGACGCAGTCCCGACCTTCTCAGCACCAAGGAGGTCGACAGCAGCAGCAGAGGCGACAGAGGGAAGAAGGGGGGAAGGAGAACACCCCTCAAAGAACGGGGTACGGGGGTCGCCACGAGAGGCACCTACAGCGACTATGCTAGCCTCAGCTGCAAGGAGTTCCTTCTCGAGGAGGGCAATGGTGAGCTCAGTGGGGCAGCGAGCTAGGAAGTGGTCCCTGACTGAGCGCAGAGTGTCAGGGAGGCGGGTGACTAGGTGGTAGAGAGTGAGCCAGAGTGGGGGTGGATTCTTGGCAAGGAACTCATCAGGCATTGCGGCGCGGAAGCGAGCCTCACTAGTGCGGAGGTGCGTAATGAGGTCAGCGACTGTGTGGAAAGAGGCTAAGTCAGGGAACAAGTAGGGAAGAGCGAGACGGCCTAGTGCAGCAGAGGCCGGTGAGGAGTAGCAGGCAACGACAGCAGTGTACAGTGCCTGTGCAGTCTTGTGCTGCCCAAAGTGCTCGCGCTCATCTATCGGCAGGGAGTTGCGAATAGCGTAGCGAGCGTGGGCGTCACGAGTCTGCCACTGTGAGCGGGCAGTGCTGTCAGCAGTAGCAGCAGGACCAGGAGCATGGCCTAGGGCGTGATCGTACAGTGAGATGTCCTCCTTGGCAGTGAGCTGTAGGAAGAGGTGTAGGTCATCTAGCCAGGTTTCGAACTTCACTGGGCGGCCCTCAGCATCGAAAGCCAGTACAGGAGGGCTAGCCATAGCAGTAGTAGGAGTAATAGCAGTAGGGGCACCCCAAAAACAGTAGGCAGTGCGACTCAAGTAGGGCGGCTCGGTCCAGTACGGGCGGCGCGGCTCGGTTCAGGTAGGGCGGCGCGGCTCGGGAAGGGCGGCGCGGTTAGGTTCGGGCGGCGCGGCTCGGTTTGGGCTGGGCGGCTCGGTTCGGGCGGCTCGGTTCGGGCTGGGCGGCTCGGTTCGGGCGGCTCGGTTCGGGCAGGGTGGCTCGGTTCGGGCTGCTCGGGTCGGG